CTTCTTGCGCGAGAGCTTCGTGCCACACTTGGGGCAGGGCGTTGCGCCACGATCAGCCCAGGCCCAGCCGCTGCAGCCATGCCATGGGCACACAAGATACTTGTTGCGAGCCATCGCGCCACTTCTTTCACAAACACTGAGCCGATGAGAACGGGCAGTGCGAGATCGCCCCTCGGGCGATGGAAAGCCGCCGCGCGCTGGCACAGCGTCGTGCTGAAAGCCTGGGGCGAGGCCGCCAGGCCTGATGGAAGGGGCTGCCCTTCCACCTCGCCCTCGAGCCTCTGGAGTCGGGACCCACGGGAGGTTAGCTCTGTGAGACTTGAGCCAAAATGGCTACGGGAGGGAGGGAGGAGGAGGAGGAGGAGGAGGGAGAGAGGAGAGAGGGAGGGAGGGAGGGAGGGAGGGAGGGAGGAGGAGGAGGAGGAGGAGGACCAGTGCAAACCCAAGACTCATCAATGATGTTGCAATCAACCCTCCCTCGAAGTTCCCTCTTCAGAGGCTCTTATCAAGATCGATCTGCATAGTGGGAAGGGCCCCGTTAGAAGACAATCGTTTGACAATCTTCAACCGTGCCAGAGCACCGTTCCTGGTACGTCAACGCTGCGAAACAACGTTCCTTTTGCGACCTGACGATCCGAAATCGTCCTCCAAAACACAATGTTTGAGACGTCAACCAGACTAACTTTTGAAATTGCTGTGAACTATTAAAACGAGTGCGCGCGGCGCTAAGGCGAGAGCCACATGTTGAAAGGGAACCGCCTTCCAGCCGTGAAACTTCAGCAATTTGTTAAGAGGAATGCGATCGACGCTAAGGCGAGAGACACATTTGACAACGACCCGTCCTCCATCCGTGAAACTGCTTGCACAAGTCAAAACGAATGTACGCGGCGCTAAAGCGAGAGCCGCTTGTTGAAAACTACCCGTCCTCCATCCGTGAAGTTCTTGCATATTTCAACGACTGCGCACGGCGCTAAAGCGAGAGCCACATTTTGAAAATGGCACGACTTCCATCCGTGATATTATTGCAACTATGAAGCGTCTGGGTCATGTGTGGTGAGGAAGCCTTAAGCCAAATGCCCGCCCCGACCTACCGACCCGTCTCGGAGTGCGACACGGATAAGTTGTTCACAACTTTGTTGTGTTGGGCACTCGCTTCGAATAGAGCATTGTGTTGCCCCACCTCTCTCTCCGCCTCCCCCTCTTCCCCCCCCCCCCTCCTCCCCCAGCCCCTGGGCTCGAGGGTCCGAGGACTTCGGGCCAGAGGCGCGCGAATTCAATGCCTCCAGGCACCCACGGCCGCGCGGCCGCTGCGAGATGATGGGGCGCCGCCGACCATGTCAAGGTTACGGGTGCTCGGATGGAACCCCATGTGGGGCACTGGATGCCGACTCCAGGAGATTGCCGCCTGCACGAAGAACATGGATTTCACATTGCTGGCGGGTACCCAGAACGCGCGCAGGGATCCGGAACAGGTGCTTCAACGTAAGGTGGAGGGAAGAGTTGTTCTTGAGGCAGCAGTATCATCAGGTTTGTACACTAATCGTAGCGCAGGTGCGTCCATTCTACTAGGCCGAGAGTTTCGAAGCCATCATGCACGTCGGGTGTTCTCCAGCCCGCCTCAGCTCTGGGGTCGTTGTCTCGCCGCTCGTATTCGACGCAACATCGTGGGCGCATGCGTCGGGGTCCTCTACTTTCCTCCTCAACCTCGAGGGAAAGGGGCGGGGCCGAAGTGCACGCAGACGGTTGCCAGAATGACCCAGTGGTGGAGAGAATGTCTCGACCAACTCTCAGCACGTTGCTCGCCCATTTTCTTTGCTGCTGATTTGAACGATGGGCTTGGCTGTCGTCGCATCGAGGGGAAGTGGGAGGAGCACGACAGCAGCGCGGTGGGTCAGACACGCACGAGGGAGAGGCGGAGGCAGGGAGCAGGAGAGTCAGTGGCACATCTGTTAGAGCAGCACCATATGCTTGCGGCGAATACCCTGGGCCCCTCGATCCAACTTTTTACGGTGGCGGACCTGAAGGGCCCTCGAGCTTGATTGACTTCCTGTTTATCCCGCAGGGGTGGGGCACTCGCCTGGCTCGATGTCATACTTCACGAAGGATTGGCGCGCAACTACAAGCCCAGAGCGGGCGCCCCCCCCGTGATCATGTCCCCCTATACCTGGAAGTACATCATCCTAAAGGACCCCAGGAATGTGTCCCTGTCCAGCGGGCCCGCTGGGATACTTCTTCTCTGATGCTTGCCGTCCGCTCTGGATCCCAGCGCATCGCCTTTGTGGAGGGAATGGAGCAGTGGATACGGGAACGGGAGGAGGATAGGATACGGGTTCATGATCAGGACGCTCCAGACCACTGTTTTGAATTTCTAGAACAGGGATTGGTGGAGGCGGGGTCGGAACTATTTTGCGAAGATACGGATATGCCGCACGATTATTCCCATTGGGCCGCATTGCGCCGTGAGCTTTTGAAGAAGCGCATTGAGTTGCGCGCTTCTCGCATGCAAGTCACGGATTTGCCAGCTGTCGAAGAGGAGCTTCGAGATGTATCGCAGAGGATGCGTTTACTTAGACAGCGTCACATGAGGGCGGAGAGGGCTTCCTTTGCCCAGGCTTCCAGTGAGGCATGGGCTAGAAGAAATATCTCGGAGGCGATGGGGTGGGCGAGGAGGGCGGCTCGTTGTAGGTTTTCTTCAAAAAAAACGTGATGGGCGACTCTTTGGAGCTACCCCGATTTCTCGTCAGGAGTGGTTGGACGTGTGGCAGTTACCTGGAGGGGAGGGGGGCATGAAAGTTATCCCCATTGATTTGGAGCAGTGGCGAAACCAGAGGGACGACCTTGATCTTGCCCAGATCTACGATATGGCCCGTTACGATCCTCGTTTCAGGGAACCGGCTCTGGAGGACATCAAACGCCTCCGAAAGTATGCGCGCAAAGCTTCCAAGAGACGGGTCGTCCCAGATGGCACCGCCCCGCTGGAGCTCTGGTGGCAGATGTTGCACCCCGACGTGGGCCTGGAGGGTCTACGCGCTGGCCTCGGCGCTCAGCGTGCACCGGTGGAGCCGACTCTCTTCTTCGAGGTGCTACTGGACGCCTTCATGAAAGTGCGAATCACAGACATGGCCCCTCTTTACTGGAGTATTAGTCGGGGTTGCGCTCTGCACAAGTCGGCCCAACCTGGGCCTCGTGGGAAACGCGTGGTCCACGTCCTCCCCGTCGCGGGCAAAGCCTTCTTCGCCGATCTCCTCCCCAACGAGCTCCCCCCCGAGGACTATGGGTTCCAGAGGCACCGTCGTAGGGAAGGGGCTGTCTTGGCATCTCAGGTGGTTGGGTGGAGATCACGACAGGCGGGATGGAGCTTTGGGGCTAGCCTCAAGGATATGAGTAACGCGTTTGGTAGCACCTCTTGGACGGCCATGGATACGAGTATGGCCTTACATGTTTCTGATGAGAATCTACTGTTGTGTAAGAAACGATATCGTGATGCTGTGGTTTTACTACCTAGTGATGAGGGGGATGCGGCGGTCAAGACCAGGGTGGGAGGAGTGATGGGTGATCCGTTCATGGCGGCAGCGTTCTCTACTACGTTTCAGCGTCCAGTGCAGCAATGGACGGAATCGCTCTGCGTTGCTGACCCGTCTTTGCACCTTTTACGCGCTGAGTGGCAAAGTCAGGAAGTTGATCTTAGCCTATTTAAGTATGCGGACGACCTTTATCGCTACACCCTGATCGCTCAGGGCGACCTCATGGGCTCCTTCCTCGCCAAGTTGCGCGAGGCAGACGATTTGCTAGACTCTCACCTCCAGGAATGTGGGTACCAACAGAATCGGGGGAAACAAGAGCTGGCAGTCTGGCTTGAAGGGGAGGGGGCCATGGCTTGTCGTCGCTGGCTTCGTGGGCCTGGACGGGCTCTCATCTCTGGGGTTCTGAAGGAGGAGGTGCGGTATCTGGGGCCCCACGTCTCTATGTCCCAGGCCTCGAGCCAGGAGGTGATCAGACGACATCAGGCTGCACGCTCGGCCTTCTACTCCCTCGGCGGTTTCTGGACGTTATCCCTCCCTTGGAAATTTACTCGGGCGATCTTCTTATCCCTTGTGCAGAATTCGGCTCTATGTGGAATGGGGGCGTTCTTGCTCGCGAAGCAGCAGTGCGCCCGCCTGGATGCCACTATCGCTCATTTTGCCCGTGTTTGCATGCGAGGGCGTGCAAGATGGACTACTTCAACTGGCGCAGTCAGGACAATGTCCAATCAGGCCGTGCTAAAACACTGGCGTATTTGTGAGACCTCGGTGGAGCTGGGCATTCGCCGACTTAACTGGTGCAAGTCTTGGGCTGCCCACCCCACCAGCCACGCCCAGTTGTTTGTGGCCCTCTTCGGGGAAGTGCGTTTCGAGTCGGGGGAGGCGCCTCTCGTCGACGGATACCTGACCCCCAGGGCCTCCCCCTGGGCTCGCAGGGTCTCTGAGGACTTCTACTGGGCACAGGGGCTCATACGTGATTCTGAGGATGTACTGGGAGCTCTTGGTGATCGTCCTGGCCTCACGTGGGACCCCGAGGTGCGCCGCGAACTCCTGAACATCGACTTCACTATGATACGGAGTTGTTTCTTTGGAGTGACTATCGCCCCCCCTGGTCTGAAGGTTGAGGTGGAAGGAGGGGGAGGTCGTGATCATGAGACACGAGAATTTCCCGAACTCGAAACACGTTATCGCTGCCAGTTCGAGGGGTGTGAAGAGGAGTTCGCCACGCGTAAGGGCTTGATGGCGCACATGAGGTCCCGCCACTCGCTGCGCTCCCTGTGCCACGTGCTCACCCCCAGTGACGCATGTATATGCTGCGGGGGGGTTTTCTGGGGCAGGGCATGTGCTGCTCGGCATCTTGTGCTTGCTGTGCGACGGGGGCACTGTCGATTCGGTGTGTGGTGGTGGGGGGGGGGGGGAGAACGTTTCGCCCTCTCGAGCCTCCATCGTCATTGTCGTGTCCTCAGTGCGACGTAGAAGCTTCAGATTTTGATGCGCTATGCCAACATCTACGCGGCCACTTGCCTGGCCCTGTTCTCCCGCGGACCCGCTTTTTTCGGGGGCGCTCTGGGGCTCATGGCGGAGCTCACGCCGCCCGAGTGGATGCAGGCCCTGTCGGAGACGAAAAGGGGGGCGGAGGAGGGCCCAGGCTCGGATGGCAAGCCGCCGAAGCACGCCAAGGGCGGGGCCAAGGGCGACAAGCACGAGAAGGACCTCACCAAGGCCCTGGTGCTCCTCCTCACCAAGCTGCGCCTCACCTCGGCGCGGGGGCTCGCCAACTTAGCGGGCGCAGTCTACCGGGCGTGGGGGCTCCTCGAGTCAGGCGACGGGATCACGCAGATTATGATCGACTCGGGGGTCACGTACGACGAGATGTCCAGGCAGATGAAAGAACGTCAGCGGGCAGGCGAAAAGGTAGACTTTCGCGCTCGTGGGCCCCCGCGCGTGCAGCTGATGGCCGCGGTCTGCCTTAACCTCGCGACCAACGTGGAGAAGTTCATCCAGGGAGGCGAAGAGGACTACGTGGAGGCGGAGACCAAGACGTTCCACGGGTACTTCGCGAAGTACATCCAGGGCGCCGCCCCACACGCAGTGGGCAACCACGTGCTGCACTTTCGGTGCAGTAAGCACAAGGGGGGGAAGACCATCGAGACGAGTGGCTCATCGAGCCAGCAGCAGCAGACGAAGAAAGGACGCGTGACCTTCGCCTTCAGCTACAACGAGCCTGGCATGATGGCGAGGGAGCTGGTTCTCTGGTGGCTCAACTACGATGAGGACCAGAAGAGGGCGGAGCAGCTGATAGGCCCAGCCCCGAAAGGACTTCTCGAGCGAGAAGCCGCGAGGATCCTGAATATTATCGAGAAGAAATGAATGAGGTTTCGGGTCCAAGTGGACCAGTGAGGCCCGCGAGGCCTGTGAGGGAGGAGGATAGGAGTAGGAGTAGGAACCGTGAAAGGAGAGAGGGGGATGCGAGAAGATCCTCACAGCCCATCAGGGGCGCTTTTTCAGGTAGTGTGCGTTTGGCAAGTCTAGTGGCCAGGGGAGTGATTTCAGATCCCTGTCGGACCCCCGTTTTTGCCACGCACCAGCAGGCCGATCTCCCCATGACTCCCCTCGTGGTAGCGCCCAAGCGGGCCCCACGAAGGGGGAAAGGCAGTGCTAAAGGCCGAGGACCCAGCCAATCGTCGGTCCCTTAGGTGGCCCCTCCCAGTACGCCTGCGTGGCGTCACGGGGGTTCGTCACCAGCGGGGGCAGTGCTGGTCCAGCCAGTGCGGGCTGCCCCGTCTCCTTTCAAGTGATAACCAGCATCCCACTAAGTCGGGTTGCGCAGAGTTCTTTGCCAGGTTTCATGGTGTGAGTCGAGCAACTGATTTGAACTCCCCGCGCATTGCTCATTGCTCCTCCTCCTCCTCCTCCTCCTCCTCCTCCTCCGCCTCCTCCTCCTCCTCCTCCTCCTCCTCCTCCTCCTCCTCCTCCTCCTCCTCCTCCTCCTTCTCCTCATCCTCATCCTCATCCTCCTCCTCCTCCTCCTCTTCCTCCTCTTCCTCCTCCTCCTTCCTCCCTCCATTATCCTCCTCGTTTTCCTTCTCCTCCCTGTCCCGTAACCTCGCAGTTCCCTGGAAGGCTGCGATCTGCGAAATTGTCGCCACTTTGGTGGGCTTCTGGGAGGCCCAGCGGATGTACGCCCCACGCAGATCGCCACGAGACCTCGCAGCCCCCTGGAAGGCTACGATCTGCGAAGCGGTCGCCATTTTCGTTGGCTTATGGGAGGCCCAGCAGAGGTACGTCCCACGCAGATCACCACGAGACCTCGCCGTCCCCTGGGGGGCTGCGATCTGCGAAACCGTCGCCACTTTCGTGGGCTTCTGGGAGGGCCAGCGGAGGTACGTCCACGCAGATCACCACGAGACCTCGCCGTCCCCTGGGGGGACTGCGATCTGCGAAATTGTCGCCACTATCGTGTGCTTCTGGGAGGGCCTAGCGGGGGTACGTCCCACGCAGATCACTACGAGACCTCGCCGTCCCCTGGGAGGCTGCGATCTGCGAAACCGTCGCCACTTCCGTAGGCTTCTGACCCACGCAGATCACCACGAGACCTCGCCGTCTCCTGGGGGGCTGCGATCTGCGAAACCGTCGCCACTTTCGTGGGCTTCTGGGAGAGCCAGCAGAGGTACCTCCCACGCAGATCACCACGAGACTTCGCCGTCCCCTGGGGGGCTGCGATCTGCGAAACCGTCGCCACTGTCGCTGGCTTCTGGGAGGCCCAGCGGATGTACGCCATATGTACGCAAATCACCCAGAGACCGCGTCGCCTCCTTGGGGGCTGCGATGTGCGAAATTGTCGTCACTCTCGTGGGCTTCTTGGGAGGGCCAGCGGAGGTACGTCCCACGCAGGTCACCACGAGACCTCGCCGTCCCCTTGGGAGGTTGCGATTTGCGAAACTGTCGCAACTTTCGCGGGCTTCTGGGAGGTCCAACGGAAGGGTGTCCCACGGGGACCACCATGAGACCTGGCTGCGCTGTTTGATCGCAGATCGCAGCTGGATAGGGCGCCCACGGAGCGCATGGCGCCGTCATGTACCCATGCCGCATGGGCTCTTCAGTTGCCTCACGTGCAGCGCTTAGCGCAGGGCGCTATTCTGGCATAGCGCGCATGGCGCTGTTCCGCAATGAGAACCTAGCGCGATGCGCTGTTACTTATCTCCAGTTCCCCCTTCATCAGTATATTCCCACGTCCCCTCGTGGTCGCCTTCCCGCCAACGATTTGACTCTTAAAAGTAGCGCCGCGAATGTGAAACATTTGGCTCTGGCCCAACGTTCTTTGGCGAAGCGTTCAAGAGCACGGCGGATCCTTCAGTGTTTGCTTTTGTACTGCGCGGTCCGATGTATAGTGTATAGTCACCTCATGTGTGTAAAGGGTTGGGCACGTCCCCGGGTAGTTTATAAGGAAGAGGGTTGGGGGACGAGGAGGACAAGGACGAGGACGAGGACGAGGACGAGGACGAGGACGAGGAGGAGGAGGAGGAGGAGGAGGAGGCGGAGGAGGAGGGGGAGGAGGGAGGGAGGGAGGAAGGAGGGGAGGAGAGAGGAGGGGCCCCTGGGGGTGGCGGGGGCCTGGCCTCAGAGACCGCGGATTTCCCGTGCGGGGCTCTCCCGGCGCGCCCGGGAGGGGGGTCCGTCCGCGCGGGGGCCCCCTCCTGAGGAGGGACCCTTGGCTTGGGGGGAGGGACCCTCTGGCCAGGCCAGCAGAGGACCCCCTCCTGAGGGGACCCCCTCCTGAGGAGGGGACCCACTCCTGAGGGCTCTGGCCGCGCGGGGACCCCTTCCTGAGGAGGGACCATTGGCTTGGGGGGAGGGACCCCCTCCTGAGGAGGGACCCTCTGGCCAGGCCAGCAGGAAGACGAGGGGGGAGGTTCGAGGCGCTGGGTTCGAGAAGGCCTCTTTGCCTTCTTCGGTTTCCCTTCGGGCCCCGGGACCGTCCAAAACGCGTCTGGGGCGAATCACCGCACCGAACGAAAGTCAGGAGGTGTCCGCGGACCGATTCTGAGCGGATTCGCCGTCGATGCCCTGGACCGCTCTTCTCAGAGCCCAAGCAGCTCAGACCCCCCTGGCTGCCTCCAACCCTCAGGGCCAGTGCCCCGGCGCAGCCCCTCTGCGGAGGCCCCGCGTGAATCGGAGGGCCCGGACGAGGGCGGCTGAGCTTCTGGGCGTCTTCGTCGGTTCTCGGCGGCCTTCCCGCCTCGGGATGCGCTCCGTCGGCGGCGCCTCGGCGAGGGTGCTCTGGGGGGGCCAGAGTCGTCCTGGACGGGCGCTAGAGAGCGGAGTTCGGGGCTCAAGAGACGGGGGTGAATGCTAACGGGGGTCAGCCAGGGCAGCGGATCCTGCAGGATCCTGCGACGACCCCCTCTGGCTGACCCGGGTTAGCGAGCCGCTCGTGTCCGCGAGGCGGCAACGCAGATTGGCTGACCCGGGTTTGCGAAGACCTGCGTTGCAGTTTGTTTTTCCTGTATTGCAGTTGTTTGGTTTCCTGCTGACCCGGGTCTGGATTGACCCGGGTCAGAAGATCCCCGTGGAGTGATGACGCGGAAGCCCAGGGGACGAGGAGGCCAGGGGCAACGTCAAGGAGGGAAGGTAACAGCAGGGCGAGGTGAGGCAACGGCAGTTGACCTGCGGAGGGGGGGGGGCCGCGTCGCCACGGCTGGACGCAGCTCGGAAAATTAGCGCACTTGGACCTCGGAGGGGTCTGGGGATCGATTTTGAGCGGTCGCTGTCTCACCTCACCCTGCTCCGCGGTGAGGAGGGCGAGCCGAGGCAGGCTCCCGGCTGCAGGTCTGCTCCGCCGTCGTTCCCCCGGGGGGGGGGGGGGGGCGACCCCAACCCCCACAGGGCCGTCTTCGCCGCGGGCCATCGCTCGAGCGTGTCTCGGAGGCCCCAGGGGAGGCCCCGCGAGGCCGGCATCGTCAAAGAGCGCCAGTCATGATTCTGTCTCGCGGCGCCTGGAGGTATGGGGTCTCCGTGTGTGTCATGTGTTTGCCCGCGCGCGCACGGGAGCGCGCGCGGGGGGAGGAGGAAGGGAAAGAGGAGGGGGATGAGGACGAGGAGCAGGGCAAGCCCAGGATGCAGAAGCGATGCTGTATCGCACCCTCCCGCCCCAACTTCCCTCTTCACGAGTCCCTGCAATGATACTTTTCTATTACGGGCGGCGCCCCCTTGAAAGGGCCCCAGCATCGAAATAGAGCCGCCCTCCATCCTCATGGCTACACGGCATACCAAGTGCAGGATCGCAGTTAAATTCGGGGGAGTGTCCAGCGAGACACCGTGTTATATACAGGAGCCGCCTGTCTCCGTGCAGCTGCTGCGCAAGCTTCACCTTCTGAACATGCGTAGGGCGTTCCGGAAGTGGCCTCGCCCTCGAGGACCGAAGGAGTTGCCGGCTCTTCCTGGGCGGAGGGCGGCGGACGGCCAGCGGAAGCCGATGTCTCAGGCAGGAGGAGACGGAGAAGGAGGAGGGAGCAGGAGGAGGGGGAGGAGGAGGAGGAGGAGGAGGAGGAGGAGGAGGAGGAGGAGGAGGAG